TCCAAGTGATTATATACATTGTAAGACCTGACCCGGAACGACTGCGAAAAATGCAGCACAAGGTCCTCTGGTAGGAATTGAACCTACGGCCCTGCGATTAAAATAATAAAATAGGGCGCATCAGTGCACAATGCGACTCAATGGGTTAGAGATGAACAGACGGTTAAGTCTGTTATGCACATATGTACCTTCTGATGTAAACAATTGGTAACATCAAGGTGTTATACAAGGGTTATACATGGTGGTCAACATTACATGTATCAATACTAATGACTTGGGGAGCGAGCAAATGAGGCTAAATTGCATGTATTCACCAGCAAACATGAGGTCAAGACATATAGTGAACAATTTACTCACACCGGTAACTGTGTTTCCTTTTAGAGTTGACCACCATGTGCCGAGATGTTGCATCACAACACATGAAAGTAAAGAATACCCAACTTTCACATTGTTTCAGCATCTCATTCAGAAACTCTAATCAAAATTCATTTAAAGAACAGCAACCTGAACGATGTTAAATATGAACTATGTACATCATATTTTTTTTAATATAGCGTGTTTGAAATGTAAAAAACCAACATCCCTCACATTTTATGCTTTTTATCACTATTATAAACAGGGTGCCATATACTGCTATAGTTTCAAATAGTGAAATCTTGACTGATTTCTGCCTAAGTATTTCACAAAATATTAAATACAACGATATCCAGCTGCGCATAAGTTATTATACCATTTACACTTCTTCTAAATCCTTTAGACATGGCTCACATGAGTATTAATTTCTCGGTAATTTCGGAATTTCAATTTTCCACTCGACCACTCCTACGATGAATAACAGTGCCATATAAATCGGTAGATAATCTTCAAAGGTTTCTCATACCAACACATCTTTCAAGGACGAATTATATAAACATGTTAATAACAACTTTAGTAAAGGAAAACTGTTATGAGCAAAATAACAAGTGTTTCTCGTGCCGATTATTTTCTGAAACATTCGGGCGCCATCTTGAAATTTGAGTTCGGGGGGGTGAATGCCTCTCTTTCGCGCACTGGCTAAGCTTTTGGCGGCCGGTTACACTTTTTTGGCTGAGTTCCACCCAGTGAACTCTATATATATATATATCTAGATATATATATATATATAGATATATATATATATAGAGTTCACTGGTTCCACCCACTGAGCTGTATAATAACTGGAGGACCTGCTCCTATACTTCGTTCAGTCAACAAAGTGTCCGCAAAAACATGGCGGATTTTGAGTGAAAATGACGCCATTTCCATGACAACACTTACTTTATTTTCATGGTAGGTGCCACTGACCAGGCTCAATTCTGAGCCCACGGCCGTTTTCACCCCCCCCTGGTTTTTGCAAAACATTTTTGCAGATAATATAGTTCTCGACTTCTCGTTGTTTTGAATCCTTTTTTAAAATGTTTTCGAGATAAACTTTCTGCCTTTGACCATTTGGTCAAAGATATCCAAGTGGTACGTGTTTAATATCGCCCGTGAAAGACGACAAACCAATTTTAAAAACTCAAGAAATGTGGGAAAAGACGACTCTTGAAATATATGGATTTACACTCAGATTTACAAACTTTAAGGTAAAAAACGTATTTTCATATTCAATTTAGACTTATATATCTTATTTGACATCTATTATCAGACTATTTTTAAAAGAGGGAATTAGGTTTTGTGTTATGCAGTCCACTTATGTATAAGCTGGCTGCTGGAAGCTGACCTGGGAAGGTAGTTTCTACCTAGCTTTCTTGCATGGTTGGGGATACTTCTTCATTTTTGTGTCATATAAATAGTAATATAGAGGCTTGAGATAAATCACACTTCTCCCTAAGCGGAGGTAATAAGGTTTAGCTGAGGTATGTGCCAAGGCATACATGTGTGATCACACCTCATTCCCAGGATGGCCTGTTTTCTTACAAGTTTTCTCAGTAAATATCACTCTGAATAAATAATGTACTTTTATATTAAGTACACTCATAGTTCTGATACCCCTGGTTTAAGCTGAGGAGTATGTTAGGTCACATTCTTTTGTTTACCTTGATCATATGCTATAATTATGTTACTGTATGGTGGATTCTTGTACAACCTATATAATTCATCTATTCTTTTTTATTGCAGATTTATTCCACAAGCACACACTCCTTTCTGGGTGGCAAACTACAGTACCAAGCCACATCTTTGGAAACTGAACATACTGTATTTTACATGCTTCCAGAAATTATGTCACCTTGGCTATAGAGTCATTTTCATGATTGAGACATTGGACTAAAACTCATGCCACATACATGAAAACAAGGCTCCATAGCCAAAATGACATACATTCTGGAAGGGTGTAAGGTGTCTTTTTGTAAAATTGTTAGCAGTAAACAATTTAAAAAACAAAAATGTATAAGTTTAATTGCTATAAAACTTATTTACACTTCAATAAAGTTATGATAATCATATAATTATTTATTAATTATAATTAATTGTTATGCATGGTATTATAATTATAACTTCATTTTGTAATTGTTCTGCATGTTCTTCTGCATGTTGATCGATGCCTGTGCCATCTCTTTTGTATATTAAACAGATCATTTCTACAAAATAAAAGACAACATTATTATATCATGATACATTATACATCTTTACACCACAAAATATCATATACACATATGTTAACCCTTCAAGTGGCAATGTGTTTTGATGTTGTCTTACTGTATTATGTCGGACAATTTTACTAGTCAAGGGGAGAGTGCAATTACATGTCGATCTGTTTTTACCAAGATCATTAATCTGAGCTTCTAAATTAAGTGTCATGTTTTCATATTCAACAATGCAATTACATTCCCAACTAACTGCTAAAATATGTCAAACTATTATTAGCAAATTTTGTCATAATTTCTCACAGAGCAATCGCACATCACCATCTCCAATGTTAGAAATGTTGTATGTTCTTGCCATGTAACTATGAATCATATACTGTGTAAAACTACAAAGTTTTAATAGTTCTGAATAGACAAATTATGTATGTAAAATGTTATCTATTTTTTAAGACTCTTCTCTTGATGAGTAAAACAACTGGATTTAGTCTCACCGATAGAGTAAAATAAAACAGGGACTGTGGAGCCTGTTTAAAAGTGTGTGTGTGTGGGGGGGGCAGGATAGCATGAGTCAAGAGCTATTTCACATAGGCAGGCTGTCCAGATTTTATCCAGTAATTTTTTATCCACTGAAAAAGTGGGGGGGGGGGGCATGGCCCCCCTGTTCTGCAGTCCCAGTAAGAACGTAGCTGGTTTATTTGGGTGCATTGCAGCTTAATGGGCTGACTATATATCTCAGGGGCTGCTCATTGGCAGATAGTGTATTAAATTGACCCACTGCGAGGCAGCAGTGAGCGGTCTCCTCTTAATATCATCTGGCATTAGACAAACAGAGTAAAATAATAAAGACTGTCTTTTATATAGGGCTCATCAGCTAGGACAAGGGCACATTGTCAAATGTAGGTGGGCCTCCTCTACTCAAGTCTCTCTATAGTCCAGTTTGCAGAACGTGGCACATTTCGACGAGATCTCGGGTGCGATATACCAAGAATTTCAAGTGCAGGTGCGCTTCAAACTGTCAGGTGCGCACCTGAAAAATTGTAAAAAATGCTGTTGGTGCGAATTTTTTGTGACAAGGTGTGTCACCGTCGGTCCGCCGGCTGGGAAATAGTAAATTACAATTTATCAGCGGCTTATCTCTTGTCTTTCCCCCCACGGTCCACTCTTTCGTATATCTTTTCTTGCGTGGCCAAATACGCGCTAGACAGTAACCCACTGAGCAGTAACCTGAGTTGAAGAATGCGTATTGCGTAAGCTGATTTGATATTTTCGCGCCAATTTTTCCTGAAAGAAAATGGCGGAAGCTATAGAAGTAACATGTGCAGTTTGCGATAAAGAGGTAGGAACAGGACACAAATGTAAGTTATGCAGCGAATTTGTTCATCTTATATGTGGGGAAAGGGATGAAGATGAAGAAAAAGAAGGATACGGACAAAGTGTATGATGTTTCAAGTGTTTAAAAATAAGAGGAAGAGGTACCACATTAAAAATAAAATATCAAATCATTCAAATCTCGCATCATTAAAAATTCATGAACTGAATTATGAATTATCCATGTGTAAATGATTTGCCTGTTAGTGTTACGTGTGTTTGAATATTTTTATAAATAGCTTACAAGAGTTGTTACAACTTACACATGTCAAGTGCACCCTGGGAGCTAAGGCACGAGGAACATTTAGGCTAGGTGCGCTAAAATTGCAACAAGAAATTGCCCTCGGGTGCGCTAGTGACACATTCTGCAAACTGGGTGAGATGTCCAAACAAATCTGTTATATTAAAATATTACACTATCAAAAAGCTGTCAAGCGATCAAAAAATTTTGACTCTGTAAGAAATAAATCAGTTGCAGAGAGGCCAAAATCCTGTGAAATTAATTGTTAACTCAAGACAACATTTTTCTCATGTATTTTTATATACACGAGTTGTATTAAAATCAGCAAAATAAAATTCCGTTACAATATAGCAATATAGTCCTGAGATAATAAGATTGTTCTCTCTCTTCTGGGGAAATAAATAGCAATTGATGTAGTACATACCTTGCTTGATTTAATATTTAAGTATTCCTGCGTTGAGAAGTAATAAATATTCAAATATTCCGGCGATAAAGAAGCAAAGATTTGAATATTCGCAAATATGAAATATGGCGACAGGAAAGAGACGTGGTGCGCAAAGCATGTTGGTACTATTTTTACCGAACTCGAAGCGAGGTGTTTCGATTATGTCCTTTTATGGACATCGTCGTGTTTCATTTCATAAACAGTTGGTTATTGTTCGTTCTTTGGCGCACAATACCTATAAATTTTGAATTCGAATCGCATTCAACGGCGTAAATTAGCGTTATAATAGCTATACTATGGTAAATCTTTGTAAGGACAGTGCTTGGATATGAATAATGAACATGAATATTAAATATTTAACAAAATTAAAGCTAAACAGTCGATTCTGCCGAAAGATCAAATCGAAGGGAAGAGCGTTGAATATTTACTGCTAAGGTCCAGATCATGGTCAAGATCGAGGTCAAGATAATGCGAATTTCAGGTTGGTAGATTTGTTTGAACGTTTGAAGCGGTCCCAAGAATATTGTTTACATTTTAAAAATACATATCCCTTCTTGTCTGTGTTTCAACTGTACAACATAGGAATGATCATTACTTCTACTCTTCAATATTTAGTAAATTTTTCTAGATTACTTTACTCTGTCTGACGCCAGTTTGATAATTTTATACGCGATGAGGGCAGAGTGCTGGCGCTCAATGGGTTGACCAGACTATTTCCTCATCTGTCTATTAATTCAAGCAAGAAAGGTTTAAATTTATATGCCATATGCCAGGGCCCTGTACATAAGCCCCCATCAAAAAATCTTTACGAACAAATATAAGCCCAGGGCATATATTTGGAGGTTCACTGTATGCCATTATATATCTGATTCTCTTGTGTTCTTTGATTGACAGTAAAAACTGTAATCATTTTAATGGTGTGTGTTCTTATAGTTTTTTCCATTCTTTTAGATTGATGTTAACCAAATGATATATCACTTTCGCATGCTGTAGTAGATCAAACACAAAAGAACCGGGTTTAACCATAGAAGGTTCAGACTACCTGGTAAAGGAGATTGACAGTAGCACAGCTATACAAGAAGGTATATAATCAGTAACATGTAATGTTTTGTGAAGATAAACTGTTTGATGTATTACATCGCTGCTGTGAGACTGGTTTATCTGCAGTGGTCTGCATGTTACTGGGTCCAAATGCATTGTCGTGGGAATGTTGCCTAAAGCAATAGTTATTAGGGCAGAAGAAACTCTTAAAACTGAATTTAGTTGTTACTATACCGTACTGTCTAATGAAGTGATTTTAGTCAATGTAGATATATACATATGTTGTTGTTGTTGTATATATATAATTAATATAGCTAGCTATACTGTACACAGGGCCGCCTAGAGAATTTGCGGGACCCGAGGCAAACCTTCCCTGGGCACCCCATGACATTATTTTTAAGCTAGACCCAACTAAACCTTAGTAGCTAGACTGCATGTGGAGGTACTGTAAGTAGCCCTCAATTTCAAAAATGTTCTTTATAGAACCTACTCAATTTTAGGCTCTTGCTCTCAAGTTGGGGCCCTATTAAGGTGGGGGCCCTATTAAGATGGGGACCCAGGGCAATTTCCCCCCCCCCCCTCTTGGCGACCCTGAGTGTACATGTGATTATTTTGATTATAGCTAAATAGAATATGCAACCCTATCGTAGAATGTGTTATATTTTGAGTGTATACCATATTGCTAACCCATTGAGCTGAATTGTGCCCTATTTTGTTGTTTTACTATCAATATTTAAAACATAGCTTGTTTTGGCAAGACATGACATCCTTTGGCAAGACATGACATCCTTTTGGTTTTTCACATATTGTATTTGACAGAATGTCATTTCTGCGATATATCGAAACAATGCCATTTCTTTGATGTATCGAAACCATGGATGGTTTAGAGTTTTCGACATGTTGAAAAAATGGCAATCTTTGGATATATCGAAAAAATGGCATTCTGTCAATATAGAAGCCATGTATAGTTTAGTTTTCGATATATCGAGGAAATTGCTATCTTTCGATATATTGAGGAAATTGCAATCTTTCGATATGTCGAAGAAATGGCATTCTTTCGATATATCGAAGAAATGGCATTCTTTCAATATATTGAAGAAATGGCATTCTTTCGATATATCGAAGAAATGGCATTCTTTCGATATATCGAAGAAATGGCATTCTTTCGATATATCGAGGAAATTGCAATCTTTCGATATATCGAAGAAATGGCATTCTTTCGATATATCGAAGCATTGGATAGTTTAGAGTTTTCGATATATCGAAGGTGGCATGTTCTTGATATATAATTTCCATTGACTGTGGCTGCCTCCAGACATGTTTTGGAACTATAACATTTTCCTCTTTTTTTCCCTTTTATTCACATGCATTTTGCTCACTTTGCTAAAAACCATAAATTTTGCCCAAATTTTTTAGCAGTTTTTTCCTCTTAGAGATTTAGTATCATTTTAGTCATATCTTGCAACTTTGAAAAGGTAAAATTGGTACAAAATGTGTATGTTTTTGCTGAATATATTTTCAGTCATTTTTAACATGCATTTGATGTGATTTTCCTATTAAAACATGAAATCTGTCATTGTCCACATTTGCAATTATTCTTATGTTTTTAACCAATTTTTATCATGTTTGAAAATGAATTCTTGTTTTCATGCCGAATTATTGCATTTATGTATAATTTCTCCACAGTCATGGCTGTATTCATTGCATTTTTTAGTGTTTTCTTTCATTTTCCTCTCAAATTCTGTTAAATAGAATATTGGACCCTATAGTAGAACGTGTTTTAATATGTTGAACGATAACTATATATAATCAAGCACTTCACACAACTTTAAAATATCACATTTTTATATACTACGGCTAGCAAAAAAACAAATTACTAGAAAAAATAAATGATAAAAATTAAACCTTTAGTATTACGCGTTTGAAATTCATCCAATAATAATATGAACATTTTGAGTGTAAATTTTATACATTTATCAAGACCCAACCAGCAACAGTTGTGAAAAAAGCAACTATATATAGACCCTCTGGTAGGAATCAAACCTGTGGTCCTGCGATTCCGTTGCAGCGCTCTAAGAAACTTAGCTACAGAGTCCACCTGGATAGTTCAACGTTTTAAAATCCAAGCATTAATATGTCCACTGTCTATTTTCACTTTTCAAACTTCAAATACTTTCTACACGAGGTATTATGCTGAGCAATGTCACGTCCACAGAGCAAGCTTTTGATATATCTATTAGTGATGGGGGACCTTCTGTAATTTTGGTTGACAGTGCCGTGCAGGATACCCCCAAGGGGTTATAATCCAAAAGCCACAGATTTGGTAGATTTTATATCATAGATGAAAATAATAAGAGGTTACAACCCCCTTATTAAATGGATATGTCAATATAAATTAAGTTTGTCATTTTTGAAAGAACATTTAAAAATAATGATATATAATCTTCCTTTACAATTATTCCGTATCTTTTTTGGCTTTCGAAATAAATCGACTTGTTTTGATCAAAAGCAGCGTGCATTCCGCACAGTAATTCTACAAGGGCCATTTTGGCCCCATAGGGCCATTTTGGCTTTTTAAAACCGGGTCCGTTTTGGCTCTAACAGGGGCCAAAACAGAACAGTAGGGCCGTTTTGGCCCTTATTTTTATAGCTGCTTTGGCTATGTACAGGGCCAAATTGGAATGTTTATCATGGCTAAAATAAGAATTATCTTACTTTGCAATAAGTACCGTTTTGGCTCTAACCGGGGCCAAAACGGATCACAAGGGCTATTTTGGCACCTCGAGGGCCGTTTTGGCCCCTATTCTTAATGCTATTTTGGCCCTCATATTTAGTGCCGTTTTGACCCCCATACTTAGGGCTGTTTTGGCCCGCATTTTTAGTGCTGTTTTCGCCCCACTGTACTTAGTGTCGTTGTGGTCCCCATATTTAGGTGCTGTTTTGGTCCCATATTTAATGCTGTTTTGGTCCCCATATTTAGGTGCTGTTTTGTCCCCATATTTAGTGCTGTTTTGATCCCCTTATTTAGGTGCTGTTTTGGTCCCATATTTAGTGCTGTTTTGGTCCCCATATTTAGGTGCTGTTTTGGTCCCATATTTAATGCTGTTTTGGTCCCCATATTTAGGTGCTGTTTTGTCCCCATATTTAGTGCTGTTTTGATCCCCTTATTTAGGTGCTGTTTTGGTCCCATATTTAGGTGCTGTTTTGGTCCCATATTTAGTGCTGTTTTGGTCCCATATTTAGGTGCTGTTTTGGCCCTATATTTAGTGCTGTTTTGGTCCCCATATTTAGGTGCTGTTTTGGTCCCCATATTTAGTGCTGTTTTGGCCCCATATTTAGGTGCTGTTTTGTCCCCATATTTAGTGCTGTTTTGGTCCCCATATTTAGGTGCTGTTTTGGTCCCATTTTTAGGCCTAGTGCTGTTTTGGTCCCCATATTTACAGTAGTTGCTCTTTTGTCCCCATATTTAGTGCTGTTTCGGCCCCATATTTAGGTGCTGCTTTGGCCCCATATTTAATGCTGTTTTGGTCCCTATATTTAGTGCTGTTTTGGTCCCCATATTTAGGTGCTGTTTTGGTCCCATATTTAGGCATAGTGCTGTTTTGGTCCTCATATTTAGTTGCTGTTTTATCCCCATATTTAGTGCTGTTTTGCCCCCATATTTAGGTGCTGTTTTGGTCCCCATATTTGGTTGCTGTTTTGGCCCCATATTTAGGTGCTGTTTTGTTCCCATATTTAGGTGCTGTTTTGTCCCCATATTTAGTGCTGTTTTGGCCCCATATTTAGTGCTGTTTTGGTCCTCATATTTAGGTGCTGTTTTGTCCCCATACTTAGTAATGTTTTGTTCCCCATATTTAGGTGCTGTTTTGGTCCCCATATTTAGTGCTGTTTTGGTCCCTATATTTAGGTGCTCTTTTGGCCCTCATACTTAGTGCTGTTTTGGCCAAGTACAGGGCCAAATTGGGATGTTATTCTAAATGACTAAAATTCATATAGCTAACTTTTCTTCAGAAGAAAAGTAACACAGGGGCTAGTTTTGGATATGGAGCCAGATTTAAGGGACGTCTTGTAGAAGTTCTTGTCCATGACTATGGATGGTCCGAGATTTGCGAAGACATGACATGCCATCACATGTTATGACATGCGATCAATGCGATACGTTCATTAAACCATAAAATTTTTATATTATCATTATTATGGTAATTGAGTGGCAGCTCTCTCCCCTTGACAAGTAAAATAGAGTGCATCAGGGCACATTATGCCTTAAAGGGTTAGTGCTGCCCACAATATGGTAAACAGTAGATTTTCGAGCTATTTTCGAGCTGGCTGAAATCCTTCCTAAACAATACAATTTATAGTGCTGGTTTAGTACATAAGAGTGCCGTAAATATAGCCTGGCAAAGTCTGTTTACGGACGCGTAGATATAGCCACTTTGAAAGTATAAACTTTTGCTAGCTTGAGCGTGAAGGATTTCCAATCTAAAGCCTTGCAGAGTTTATATATTGTTGTGCCTGTTTACATGTATGTGATAATGGGATGGCTGGACAGGAAGGTTTTAATCCAGTCTTGTTGAGAAGTGAGAAACTTGTCTAAGCATAATAGACGGGATGCATGCACATGGCAGGGATGATAGAATGCTTACTGTATATGAGAATTTCTCGTCTTGGCAGGTGGGATCCCGGCAATAAGTAATGAGGTCTCACCTAGGCCAAATAGAGGTGGAATCATTCATTTTACTGGCATGTAAACACTCAATAGAGTTCATATTGCAAGAGGGATCATAAAACTAATATTCTTTTTACAAGTGCTGACATCTTGTATTTTCGTTGCCAGCATACCTATTACAGCCAACTTACAGACAACGGAAAGCTGCTTAAAATTACTACATTGTGAGTGTGATTATAGAGATTCCTTTATACTCCAGAATCTTGACTTTATAGATGATTACCAATTAGAGTGAGTGGAAGTCAAGCTTTCCATTCTGCACTCAAAAGTATCAATTTAATATGAATACTGGGTTAATGCCAAATTATTGTACTCTGTCTAACGCGAGACAATTTTGCATGTCAAGACTCAAGTGGAGAGTGCTAGTGCCTAATGTATTAATGGTCATTTATAAGACAAATCATGAATCAATCTAGCTTTGTATTACATGCACATTGCCTTTTTATCACATTTCTGGTAGCCAATGCTGAATGAACAAAATCCATGGATTGAGTTCCATTGCACCCTGATGCGCCCCGCATTTTTTTTCTCTGTCTAGTGCCAGACGATTTTACTTGTCAAGGGGAGAATTCCGCACTTAATGGGTTAAAGATATTAATAAAATAGGGGCGTATTCATATAGAGGCACGTGCAACTAATGAAACACTAGAAACATGATCAGATTAATCCATTAACCACCAGCACTCCCACTCACAAATAAAATTGTCTGGCAATTGACATTAGACAGGAATACAATAAAGTAGGAGTGCAATGCAACTTCATGGGTTAAAATTTGAAAATTGTCCTGTGAGACCATGATTTCTGGGTAGTGATGCACCAATATCCATATTTGTGTATCGGCTTATCGGTACTAAATTGAAATATCAGTAATTTGATGTCATTTTTTCGTTTTTTGAACGAATTCGAGGACTGCCCAACTACTCAAGAACCGAGACGAGTGGTTTTTGTACTGTTTATTAAGGTACTGTGTATACAACACGAGTGTAGTCAAACTAAAAATTGAATAAAACCTATCATTATTACATTAATTACACATGTTAAATCTTAAATTCATCTATACTTACAACTCGGTGGCTCTCTCAGTTCATCAACGTCTACACTGTAAATTAAAAAGGGCTGAAGCGACCCCAAAAATGGGGCCAAAACGGTGACCGCAAAATAGATCTTTTTTGGGGTAAAAATGGCACCTATAACAATGCGGCCCCTAAGGGGTGATTTTGCCCTTCCAGTGTAAGGGCTGTTTCAGCTTTTAGTAGGAGCTGTTTTGGCAAAAGCAGGGGCTATTTCAACTTTCAATAGGGGCCAATTCAGAAAATTACGGGGCTATTTTGGCATTTCGAGGAGTTAATTTGGCTCCCATTTGTGGTCATAATGAACCCCAAAAAGCGTTGATTTGGCTCGCTAACCGGACCTGTTTTGGCTACTGATTTACAGAGTAGTTTCAGCCCCAATGAAGAGCTGCTTTAGAACCGAAGGAGCCGATATAGCTTTTCTAATGGTGTAGTTTTTTAGCACCCAAAGGGCCAATATGGTTCTATTTCTGAGCCATTATAGACCACAAGA